TGTTACATGTCCAATTATTGTAGTTACCGGTGTAGTATCACGTGCTTATTATGTCTTGTTGTTTTGTTGAGGCTATCGTGCTTCTTGGTTTCTTTTCTGTGACCCTTATTATGTACTTGTTGATTCCCTTGCCGGGATGTTACTGTTTACGATATTGTCTCCTTTGCCGGGATGTTGTTGTTATACTCTTGTTCCCTTGCCTAGATTCTTTTATGTTGATGGTGAATTGTATTTGGGGATCGGGTTGCACGCCGCAATGGTATTATATGAAATTGGATCGGGTTGCACGCCGCAACGATATTATGTGAAATGGGATCGCGTTGCATGCCGCAACGATATTATAGGAAATGGGATCGGGTTGCACGCTGCAATGGTATTATGTCAAATAGGATCGGGTTGCACGCCGCAATGGTATTATGTGAAATGGGATCGGGTTGCACGCCGCAACGATATTATGTAAAATGGGATCGGGTTACACGCCACAATGGTATTATGTGAAATGGGATCGGGTTACACGCCACAATGGTATTATGTGAAATGGGATTGGGTTGCACGCTGCAACGGTATTATATGATTTTGGATCGGGTTACCCGCCACAACAAGAAAGAATAAAAATGAATATTGATTCTTATGGTGAGAACGAGAGTAAAAGCACGAAGGGTGATGCCATGCACTTTCTGTTGCTGTGTTTATTTGTTGTTATCAATTCAAGTGCTTTAACTATTTAAATCCCTTTATTGCTATGATCCTTTATGTTGGAACCTATAGTGTTTCTAATACCTCACAGGGTTTATATATATACATTCCAATACTTCAAACTTCAATAATTGTTATATCTTTAATTCAATTAGTTTCTTAATTATATCCCCTTGAACCGCCTGAGGTTCTATTTTACTTTAAAAAAGAATTTCTACTAAGCTTTAAGTTATTAACTCCTATGTTAAAGGTAATAATCCATTCGATGTTGTATTTTAATTGAAATAGGTACCTTCTTTACTCAAATGATTTCAAAAGAAACAACTTCATTTTTTCACGCTAGCTTTCCTATTTAATTTAGAAATTATAATTTACTTATATTAGGTAAATGAGACTTCTTGAACATCTTGAGTGCATTTGTACGGACCCTATGTATTGTATAGCATGTGGATTTTGTTGTTAAGAGTGAGATGGAAATTATGGGGGCACAAGATGCCATGTGTGCTGAAGGTTCGGAAGTTGAAATTATGATATGAGAAACTGAGGATTGAGAAGGTCGGGATTGTGTATTAGACATGATGTGATTAATTGAGTTGGTATTGCCTTCTTTATTTGAATACATTCTTACTTGTCTATGTTCCTGTTATGTTAGTGTTGATTTACTTGGTTATCTGATTTACTTGGTTATCTGACTTACTTGGTTATCTGATTTACCTGGTTATCTGATTTACTTGGTTATCTGATTTACTTTGTTATCGTTCGTTACTACCCGTGTTCTCCCTTTATTGTTCATACTATTTGTATTTGATTTACTTTGTTATCGTTCGTTACTACCCGTGTTCTCCCTTTATTGTTCCTACTATTTGTATTTTTATTTCTCTCCGCTATTGATTTTATCTTGTTATCTTTATCTCGATATTTCACTATCATATCTTGTTCATTTCATTTGACCAGTATGTGTCTTGACTATTTCTCGTCACTACCCCACCGAAGTTAGTCTTGATACTTACTGATGCCGTGGTATGTTCATACTACACTTTTGTACATTTTTGTGTACAGATCCAGGTATTGATCGATAGTAGCTGTGCGGATAGTCGCGGTGGAGACTCACAATAACCTGTTGCTGCTTTCGCTGGCCTCGGAGTCACCTTCATTTTTATTTACGTTCCATTGATTTCTTTCTCGTTTTGGAACAATGTTGTATCTATTTTATATAACTACTCTTAGAAAAGCTTATGACTTGTACCACCGGTTTTGGGGAATTGTGATTTATTGAGAGTTATTTAATTTAAAGTCAGTAAATGCTAATGTTATTTTAGTAAATGCTAGGCTTACCTAGTTTAGAGAATAGGTGCCATCACGACTCATTCGGATGGATTTTGGGTTGTGACACCCGGGCCTCTTCTGCCTTTGAAAACTGAGCTACCAATGATCAGCACTGCTCCTACTACAACGGTTCCTCAACCTTCAACGCCAACAACTTAACGCCCCTCTACACCAACTACACCTTCGCACCAACATCCACTGTGTCTTCTCCAACGAAAACAAATGTTTGAGAGGAGGTGCTTCTCCTCGGTCTCCCAACCATAGGAATTGGGGCACAATTACTCGCCCCCTTCCCCAGATCCTTGAGGGAGAAGGAGTGCTTCTCTTTCATGCTCGAACGAGTGCCATCTGCTGTCTAGTCCATTGGAGTTTTCCAACTACCTGAAGCTGCTGGCTTCGAAGAAAGATAGGAAGATAATACGTTACCTTTTGGGGGAGTATTTTTTGAATAATACAATGCATAATGCGCAGTGGTATCGTACTTGCTCTCTTATTACTTGCTTTCTATTTATTTGTTGTAAAGGGATTTCTAACCTTGAAATTCTTCTTTACAAGCCAACTTTATTTCTACCGAGGACCTGCAGAGATTGATCCTTGATAAGCAAGGACTCGCCTCCGAGCGAGATCAACTGTTGTCCAAAAGGAACCATCTTGCTGCGCGCCTCCTATTGTTGGAGGCAAAAGTTGTTGAGGCTGGAGAGCTTGAGGCCCAGTTGCAGCAAAGTGAACAGAAAGTGATGTACCATAGCCAAGAAGCCACTCAATTAGATGCACAGCCTCAAGAGGCTAAGGTTAAATGGGTTGAACTCTAAGATACTGTGCTTGTTGCTGAGATACGCGAGTCTACATCCAAGGAACAAGTGAATAACTTGAAGGCAGCCTTGAGCTCCAAAACCAAGGAGGCCAATGCTACCGAGGAGAAGAGGGCCAAGATGGAAGACAGATTCAACAAAATCATGAAGCAAAACCTGATTCATCTATCTACAACTCGTGATATTGATTCTTGCATCGGTGCCATGAGATCCGATAGGGACGGCCTTCAGGCCGAGGTTGACAAACTTAAGGAAAAGCTCTTGTACCAAGGGGATTCCCTCGTGTGTGAGAAAATATATGCTATGTATCATATGAGGAGAAAAACCTTGGAAGAGTCCAAGGCAGACATCATTGACACTGATGATTGCATCGCCAAGGCTCGAGAACTAGAGTTAATTGCACGAGAATGCTTCCTTCCTTGGCTCGTAGCAACTGACTCTTCGAGCACCGGTTATGAGTATTCGGTAACTGAGGATGAAAATTGAAGAGGATGATGGTGAAGGTCCAGGATCCGAACCGTCAACTGATCCACCCTCTTCCACCGTGGGGGACGCAGAAACCTCTCTCCCCCGGGCTCTGGCAGGGATAATGCATAGATTTTTTCCCTTTGTTGTTTTCCCTTTTTATTTTTCTTTTGTACTTTGTAGTTATGCCAAACTTTTCACCGCGTTTGGCACTTTTGATAAATAAAGAAGAATTTTGCTGAAGTGTTGTGTAAATTACATTTTCTTTGCGTTGAACTAGTTAAAGCTTCGGGCATAGATGCATCCATTAACTTCTAATTCTGGGCATGAATTCTTTTAGAATTAACCCTTTACCATGAGGGTTTCATAAGAGATGTACCTCTTATGTTTACGGTGATCTTGAAGAGGATGCCTCATGTTCATTCTGGCACAAGCATTTCAAGTTTTATTTTGTTAACTTTCAAATGATAATATCAACTCATCGTTTGGACATGAAACAAGATAAAAATAAAAAGACTTTATTTTATTCTTTCTATCATTAAAAGTACCTAAGAATTCGTTTGCTAAAGGAAAAAAAATTGCCAACTACATATGGCTAACTTGTACAACTTATTTCTACGGGGTCGCTCATGCAGTCTCCGATCTCAATGAGACATTACTGTTCTCAGTTCTTGCAGTCCCCAATTTTTTGTGGCATTCATGTTGCTGTATCGGAAACAACCTCTCTGTCCTTCTAGGATAGGGGTAAGGCTGATACATCTAACCCTCCCCAAACCCCACTTGTGAAAAAATACTGGGCTTGTTGTTGTTGTTGTTATTCATGTTACTGTATCTAATATTATTCCCCTTCCAGTGTTCGAATACAAAGTATGCGAACTAGAACACTGGAAGTCTTGATTCGTTGGTAGAAACAACTTGTGAGCGGTTAAATAGTCATTGGTTCGATGGAAAGTTTTGTTTCCCATTAGGAACTTGCCATCGAGCCAAAGATTATTTAACCATCCCATAGTGGTATATGATTTCAATGTCTTGTCATTTAAAGGTCTTAACATTGCCAATGTTGCTCCTCTCATAGTATGCGTTTCATTGCTACCTTGTTAAAAACCTTTCCATAAAAACCTGACTGGGACAAAAAACGGTCAAAGGGAAAAAAGTGCAGCACATACTGTAGACATGTGATTTTTGACCCTCCCCAAGATTTGTTTTTATTTAGCACGTAAATATTTAATTTAGGCCTAATATAGCTATTTCAACTCATTTTTACTCTTTTACTTTATTTTATTACAAGAAAAACAAAAATTACAAAAAATATTGTAGTATGTATCTTTCATAAATTTAAAAAAAAATACAAAAAATAGTACCTTATTTTTATCTTTATATAAATTTGAAAATACAAAAATATATAATAGTTTCATGTTAGCTTTTGCATTATGTAGTATTTTTATCTTATTTTAAAATGAGTCAATTAAGGTGTTGGATCACAATTTTAAGAGTTTTAGAGCCCAATTCAGATTAGTCCATTAAGACTAGGGACCCTTCTAGACTCTTCTTTGGAACAAAAACAAATATAAAAGACCCTAAGGACTTAACACAAAAAGACCTAGGGACTAATTGGAAAAATACACAAAATAATAACCTAAACCTAGACTCTACATATAGGAACGCCTAAATCAGCAAAAAGGACAACAAAAATAACGCTGGAAAAGCTGAAAAGCTACGCCAAAAGAGGACACCCCCACCCCCTCGGATCATCCTCTTCACACCCCCTTTTCAAGTCTTCTTCTTCAGAACTTCTTTAGAACACCCATCAACGGGAACCTTCAGCAGCACCAAACCAACACAAGCCATGCCACCTTCACAAAATCAGTAGCGCCGCATTTGAGCAAAACCAAACAACACCCCCTCCCCAACGTCTCTCCTTTTTCTTTCACACAGGCAACCGATCTGAATTCCTAAACTCGCCGGAAAACGGACCTGAAAAGCCATAAAAACTGGCCAATAATTCCAGTTTTGGAACGCAATCAAACAGGCTCAAAACCTGTCGAAACACCAACTCGAAATTTCCAGCCCGTGGTCGAGTTTCTGTTGCCATTCTCGATTCCGTTCAAGGTCTTCGGGTCCCTGTTCCGGCTGTGGTCATTTTCTGGTGTGTTTCTATTTCCTTGCTTTGTTTTGATGTGATTGAGAGCAAATTACAGTAATAGAGATCTATCTCATTTCTGTTTACATAGTTGTTTGAACATTTTGAGTGAGTTTCCTTGTTTAATATTGTTGGATATGCTATAATTTGTTCTGTTAATTAGTCTGCTTGTTTGGTTAGTTTGCTGTATTTTTGTTTGAAATTAGCTTAAAATCTCTAAAAATATTGAGTTGCTTGTTATTTTATGGATTAACAATTGTTCAGTTAAATTAAATTAGGAAGAGCAAATAAATGGGTTGTTGGGTAGTTTAACATATTTGTCTTCTCTCTCAATTTGTCTAATTTTCTCCAGTTCATTTACATTACATTCTATTCCCCCTCACAATTGATGGTTTGCTATTTTTGTTATGTTTTCAATTTCGTAGGGCGCCAATTCTTTTCAGACTCGTTTGTTGAAAGTTTTCTGATTGGTAGTATTTAGTCGAACAATTTTACGTCGCTCTAAATTGGAAAATCGGCTCAACGAAGATAAATTTGTTACTTTACATATTTTATGGCGCTGTGAGTTCGTCATTTGTTTTTAATTGGTTTCAAGTTAATGCCACTTCCTTTCTTAAATTTGAAGATTTTGTATTACTTATGCCAGCCATTCCTATAGCTTTTCTCTATTTTTTTTATTTATCTCATTGTTGTTATTCAAGATATCAACTGCTGTTTTTTCAATTCCTAAGGATTCAGTTTCAGAGGTCTGGAGTGTGCATTGTTACATTCTTTATTCCCACCACTAGTTAAAAAAGGAAAAGGAGGTGTGCCATATCAAATAACACAAAATAGCTTATGGCTCTGAAAATTTAGTTTGGATTCTCTTTAAAAATTGGAATCGAGGCGTGCCGTGCCAAATAAAATCTTAAAATGCACGTCCCTCATTTTTAATGTGTTTGCTCTTTAGAAATCGAGGTGTGCCATTTAGCAAATTTTCCATGGCCCTCGCAAATTTAAAAACGCGTAGTTGCTTTAGGCGCGTTATTTTAATAATTAATTTCCTTAAACTCGGGTGTGTATTTAATGTGACCCAAATCCAAATTCTAATAACGTTAAATAAAATATGTCGCGGATCGCGGGTGCATTTCAAGTGGCGTGATCCAAACATGTGTTTTGTATAACGTTGATATATTCCTAAAAATGAATAAAAACGGTTTAGAATTAAATATGCACATAGGTTTGAAAGTGTTCTAAAATCAGATAATTAGGCCAATAATAACAGTTGAGCAACCGTGCTAGAACCACGGAACTCGGGAATGCCTAACACCTTCTCCCGGGTTAACAGAATTCCTTACCCAATTTTTGTATTCGCGGACTGTAAAAGAGAGTCAATCTTTCCTCGATTCGGGATTCTAAACCGGTGATTTGAGACACCATAAATTATCCCAAGTGGCGACTCTGATTCTTTAATAATTAATCCCGTTTTGATTGTCAATTTAAGTTAGAAAAAACTCCCTTATATACCACTTTACGGGGGTGTAGGTAAAAAGGAGGTGTGACATCTCTGGCGGCTCTGCTGGGGAAAAGAACCTAGAACTTCTGGTTCAGGGTTCAAGAATTCGAGCTTGGATGAATTGTTATATTTGGCTTTATTTATTATCTTATTTTATTACATGTTTGGGCCTAATGTGCTTAACGTTGCTTTTTCCGCTTTGATATGGTTGAACTGTATATAAATTGTTACGAATCACTCCTCTCTCTGACTCTTATAAATCATCTGAGAAGGGTGCGCTTCGTGTAGCTTCTCTTTTGTTAGAGTCATATGCCAAATTTAGAACGAGGTTCAGACAAGTTGCAAAGCCGGTGAAGCTTCTGTATTTCTGGTACGCTGCCCCCCCTCGAGTTGTCCGTTTGGGTAGACCAGGTCTATAACGATAAACCCAGGTTTTCAAACCTAGTATAACATAGCCTCATGCCGGATCCCTAGTAGCAGCGCTTGCTTGCATCATGTGCATTTTGACTTTGGGGACTCAACACAGGGGTTGAGTCCGTCTAGGACAGGTGCACCCAAAATAACAGACCATCTTGATGCATCCTATGTGCCACATGTTGCATTTATTCAAGGGTAAAAGGGTTATTTGGCGGACCAATAAAAAAGAAAAAAGAAAAAAATATAGGTTGAAGTATGAAGATAAAGCGAGTGGGTCCCAATTATGTTTTCTGTCACATTCTTGTTAAGAAAAAAAGAGCTTGAAAATTCAAAAAAAAAGAAGAGATTTCGCACCTTTTCATCATTTTCCGTAAATCAGAAAATCAAAAAAAAGAAAAAGAAAAAATCCAAAAAAAGTTACTATGTCTCATCATTTTTTTATAAAGAAAAAGACAAAAAATATGTTTTCTCTAAATTAGTTATTTTTTTAATTCTCGCCCGCATCCAATCTGCCCGAACCACGCATATCTGATTCTCGTCTTTCGGGGCATGATACGTAGGCAACCCACATAGGGTCCGGTCTTCTTAGTAAATCTTAGGTTCTTGGCTTTGCGGGGTCTTAGCCAAATTTTGCACTTCTAGTCATTTTGCAAAAAATAGTCCCAATCATGCCTTGCATATGTCTAATAAGGAGTGTTATTATCGCACATAGTATTGGTTAAAGTTTTCTCATACAGATGTGGGTCTATTTATCGAAGTTCGAGCATGGCAGAGCTCCAGGACCATCTAGTCAGGATCGCTCATTCAGGAGTGGATTAAAAGAAGATTTTCTTTTCTTTTTTATGCTTTGAGTCTGTTGTTCTTTTTTATGTCGTCTTTTAACTTCTAGCTTTGTACAATAATGTCGAGTCTTTTGGTATTGTGTTTCCCACTTTGTATTGAAGAAAGATGTGTAATAAGGCAAATATTCAAAAAAAAATAAATTTGCGTTTCATATTTCCGTTAGTAATTTTCTTTAGAATAATAATTGTAGAAATGAAAAATATATATTTTTGAGGTGGTTTTTCCTTTAGGCAATTAATATCTAGAACTTAAAATAAAAAATTGTTTTTATATTTCCTTTAGTATATTAGGACTAAAAATTCAAAAAAAAGATTGTCTTTTAGTACTTTGTTTTTTTTTTAAAAACGTTTTCTTTAAAGTATTAATATCAAAAATCCAAAAAAAATTTTTTTTGAGGTTATTTTTTGGGAAATTAATGAAAAATAAAAAAAATATTCTTTTATTTTCACTAGAACTTTAGGATATTGTACATAGAAGAAAAAAGGAACATACTTTATCTTTTGTTTGTCTTTAAGGTTTCTTTCTTAGAAAATCAAAAACTAAAATCCAAAAACAGTTTTTTTTTTGTTTATCTTTTTCATTTCTCATTTTGAAATCTTTCTTCAAGGATATCAAATGAAAATTCAAAATATTTTTCTTTGGTTTATTGGTTAGATTTCCTTCCTAAAAAAAATCAAAAATCAAAAAATATTTTTCTCTTGTAGGATTTTTTCCTTAATAATTTCCCATAGAGTGTTTGTTTCAAAAGGAAGAAAAAAAAGAGAACAAAAATATTTACTCGTTAAGCTTGAGTTTATAATAGGTTATAGAATATTAAGTCTAGAAATTCAAAAAAAAGGGGGGTTTTGTTTCTTTTATTTCTCTTTTTTCATCAGAGTAGTCATTAAGGTAAAAAAGAAAAAAAAAGATAACTATAGTTTGTTTGCTTTATTCTCGATCTCCCAGAACTACGCAAAGATCTGATTCATGCGGCGTCATGATACGTAGGCAACCTACATAGGGTTCGATCGAATCATTTTTTTACTGTTAAAAGAAAAGAAAAAAAAAGGAAAAAAGGAAAAAGAGATGAAATTGTGGGATAAGAGGAAAGAAAAGAGTGAAATTAGAAAAAGAGGAAGGAAAATGATCAAGCAAGTGTTGGAAAAGCAAAGAAAAGAAAGGATTGAAATGAACAAATTGAGATGATGCCAACTGACCTTCGTACCCTCGAAGTCTTTTAGAACCGATAACTGTGGCTAGGTGCATTGCACATAAAGTGAGATTATCTTATGTTAAATGCCCTAACGCTAATGTGATGACTTCATTTTGTTATATTCATAGCAGAAAGGTAGTTAGATTGTGGTTTATAAAGTAGTAACTCTTCTCCACAACATAAAGTCAAAAGACAATGGGAGACAACAACAGAACTGAGTTGGTTGATACCGGTGCCCAGAAGCAGTTGTTGGAATAGGACAATGGGTTGGTTGAAGAGGTAAATATGTTAAGACAACACATGGCGTACATGTATCAGGCTTGGATGACTGGGAAGGCACTACCCCCGCCACCACCTAGCTTCCTAGATGCTGCACTTACCCAAACTCCGGACCCAATGCCAAATGATCATCCATACTCTCCAGATCCACCCGCTTATCACAGCTTTCCCAACTACCCTAGTAGCTCCATCACTCGTCCTCCAACTATCTTTTCCCAAAAGTGATTTCCTGTCACATCCACTATCCCCGACAATGAACACCCACTCAAAGCTCATTATACCCAACATTACTCCTCAAAGGTTGCCCATAAGGTCCCTAACTCATACAAGTAGGGCCCGCGTGATGAGCCTCATGTTAAAAATGAAAAGTTCACAGGAAGAGAAGGGAGAGATGGGATACCAGGAGGCTAAAAGGCATAGAACAGTCCTTAGAGAACAAGCAAGGAATGGGAGACCAGGGTAGCATGGATTGCGGGATTTAAAGTGCCAAAATTTAACTTTTATGATGGGCGTGGGGATCCGGTAGCCCATTTGAGGGTCTTTTGCAGTAAAATGAGAAGTGTTGGCGAGAAAGATGATTTGTTCATGGCTTATTTTGATGAGAGCTTGACTGAGGCAGCTTTGGAATGGCATATCAAGATGTTGGTAAATGGCCTACATTGGGTGACATGACTCAAGATTTTGTTCCATACTTTCAATACAAATCAGGCGTTACCCCAGACCGCTCTTCCCTATCTAGAATGGAAAAGAAGCCAGAGGAAAGCTTTAGGGAGTTTGGGCTCAGATGGAGGGAGCAAGATGCTCAAGTCAGTACCCTAATTGGTGAAAAAAATGGTTGAGCTTTTCCTACGAGCCTAGGGGCCCACCTACTTCAGTCATTTCATCCCGGCCTTGGGTAAGCCTTTCAATGATGTGTTAAAAATGGGGGAGATAGTAGAAGAGAGAATCAAGTCAGGCAAAATCATGAGTTATTCGGCATTGAAAGATACTACAAAAGACATTCAGAACATCCGAGTAAATTTGGGTGGAAGAAAGAGAAATAGAAAAGATGATCCGATGGGCCTCCTGCTAAGCACTTCCAGCCTTACATCGTCCCCATGGATATCCTTGTGCACCGGATGACCCTCCCCAATGCTACTTTTCTCCACAGAACTCCTAAAGTCACATCACTTTCCTAGTACCCTATCCATAATGGACCACCATATGCTCCACACCCACAAGGCTCGCGATGGCCCACACCACTTCCCCAAATGTCTTATTCGCCCCCACGAGCCTACCGAAACCCTCTTGGATCAGGTTTTCGGCCCAATCAAGCATTTAAGAACGAGAGGTTGCAGAGAAAGAAAACCTTCACTCCATTGGGAGAGTCATATGCCAGTCTGTTCTAGAGGCTAAGGAAATTGGACATGTTGAAGCCGATTCAAATAAAAATGCAAAACCCTCTTCCAAAGAAGTTTGATTTTTCTCAAAGGTGCGCATATTGCTTAGATGCCTCGGGGCATGACATAGAGAAGTGTTGGCATCTGAACAAAGCAATTCAGAAGCTTATTGATGTAGGTGACATTGTCGTACAAAATCCAGATACAACAGACACTAGCCAAGGTCCATCGCCTATGCGTAATGAGACGCATATGGTGGGTATGATTTATTTTGAAAAGGGATATGATAATTATTCTGAGATCCTTGTAGGTCCACGCACTACGAAGCTTTTGGCGCTATCAGAGGTTGATCCTAAGAATGAGAAGGCACATGGAACCCAAAAGCAATTTGTTAAGAATAATGTGATGGAGACTTGTGAAGGTCCTAGTATTGTTGATGCAGAAGTCAGTGGCTAAGATGCTGAGTTTGGTGATTGGAAAGACGCTCTTTTCTTGGTTAGCCAGGGAGAAGTTTTGGTGGTTTATTTTTGTTGTCATTTCTATTATCCGGGTTATTTCCAGGGTTGTAATCCGGATATTGTCTTGTGACTCAAACCCTTGTATCCTTTTATTTTGCCTAGTTGTTTAGTCATAGCAGCTCGTTTAGTGTTGTCTAGGTTTGTTCTAGGTTTGTAACCCCAGTTTAGTTTTCTTGTTTTGTTGTTCAAATCCTTTCACCAGTTGTCTAATGCAATTTTCTGTTTTCTGTAACTGCTAGTCATTTTTGTTTAGTTCTCTTTTCTTTTATAGTTCTTTTCTTGTTGACCCTAGTGACATGACATGCACGCATAATTCTCAGCCTGGTTTTAAAAGTCAATTTAGTCATGAAGCAATAAAACAATTTTGAAGATGATAGGGACATTTGAGGGAAATAAGTAAAGGCATTTTGAGATCACTTCAAGCCCGAATTGTGTGAAACTAGGGCAGGTAAAACATAAAGAAACCCTATTGAAATGCATCATGCCGCATCGGGTTGAAGCTAAAGGCAAGTTTGCCCAAATTGACTGGAGCCGTTCGTGGTAGTGAGAGTGAGAGTGTTGTCCAAAGGTGCTTTTTATTTAGCAAATGTAGAAGGCAAATGTGTGTATATGACTATCAATTCTAATGCAGTCAAAATATATTATGTGTCATTTCTTTAGATTGTTTAATTGTGCTATTTGCATCTGGCGTGCTTTGAAGATTGGAATGACGAAGACATTTTATTCTGCTATCTAAACACTTTATCCTTTGTTACCCTTTTGAGCCTTATTTATTTCTTTTTCATACTCCTCTTTTGGAATTAGTAGTAAAGTTCAGAAACGCAAGTGCAAAATGTAAGTAAACGACAAAGAGAAAAAGAGAAAGAAAAGAATGAAAATAAAAAGAACAAAAAAGAAAAAGAGAGGAAAAAACAACAAAAAGAAAAACAAAAAGAAGAAAAGAAGACAAAGAAAAAGAAAAGAAAAATCACAACAAACAAAGTAATTCCTATGACATGAACTACGTTCGATCTGATTCCTTTTAAGGATACGTAGGAAGCCTCACGGTTCGGTCCCATCAAAATAAAAATCCAAAAGTCCCCAAGCAAAGAAATTGGGGCAGAAGTTGCGGTTGTTGTGAGAAAATCTGGTTCCAAAAGTTGTAATTTTGAACGCGGTTGAGCTTGTTTTGAGCCTTTTGATACCCTTTCTTTCTAACCCCATCCAAAAGCCCATATTACGGTCCAGAGAAAGACCTTCCGATCAGTCTTTGAGAGATGCCAAGGCAAGCAAGTAGAGGTGAATCATATAATGGGAAACATTCCGGTCCAAACGAGGAAAATGAAAAATGAGAGAGTCTTATTGGTGAAAACCCTTACAGGCACCGTAAGGCGATGAAATCTGAGAGAAATAAAAAATGAGAGAGTCTTATTGGTGAGAACCTTCACGAGCACCTTGAGGCGACTATAAGTTGAGAGAAAAAACAAAATGAGATAGGCTTGATGGTGAAAACCCTTCGGGCACTACAAGTCGAATAGGGATTGTGAATCCGATTGGATAATCGGAGCATTGAAGCCCAGTTTCACGGTTTGGGGGTATAACAAGAGTTGAACATTAGACTTTCTTGATAGAATATCCATAGGTGCATGTCATGGTTATTAGAGTTGGTATCCACATCTGATAGGTTTCGACTTTGTAGTTTTCTTGTTAGGAATCATCTCTTTCCATTGTTCTTTACTCTGTTCCGGTTGTCTTGTTTACTTCCTCTTCCTGAGTCTGTTTGGTCAGAACAAGTGAGAAATGACT